CATACCTTCTCCCTTCTCTCCCCCGCCCCCTCCCGCTTACGCCTTCTCACTCTCATAGCGAGATCCTTACACCAGGGACACTGCCGTGGAACGCTGCCTCCCTGGGACCACCAAGCGAGGAGCCCTGGGCATTTAAACCGTAGCACAGGGAAATTCGGGGGGGAGGGGGGAGAAGCGAGCATGCCACCACCCTCGCTCTCAGATGGTTGGTGGGATCAAAACCAAATGTGCATTCCTTCAGGGGCTCGGGCACCCACAGAAAAGGCCCAGCTCAGTCGCTCCCTCTGAACTTGAAGAGCCGCGCTGAGCGCTGGCATGTGGCGTGTCCCCCTCTGCCCGGAGGATGCGGGCTTGGGTTTTTGTTTAACAATGAAAACAGCGTGTGGGAGGGTCTCCTTCCACATGTCACCCAAGGCAGCTCTGTCCTTGTTCATCCTCTTGGTCCCGGGCTGCTGGCAGTGCCTGCTCGCGGAGCGGCCATGCATCTCCCCCGGGGCCTGGCCCAGCGGCCCGGGCTAAGCATCTGCCTCTGAAAGGTTCCTCACGGTGTCGGGGACAGTCCTTGCTGGTCTGAAAGGCCCTCAAACCTCGGATGCTCCGGGTCAGCCTTCACCCTCAGTTTGCCGGGAGAGCGCAGCTGGTCCCAGAGACAGTTTTGGGGGCTGGGGGCTGAGAGGGGGTAGAGGGCCACTGGGTCAGTGTGTTGTCGATACAGCAGCGCCTGCCAGAGCCCCTCTGTGGATGCTCGGGGTCCCTCCTGTGCCTGCTCATGTCCCTTGGGACGCCTTGGCATGTCCCCGGCTGAGACAGGTGTGGCCCTTTCCCAGAGGCGCGGTGACACTAGCGTCAGGGGAGGCCTCCCCTGGAAGCCGGCCTGTCTGGTAGGAAGGAAATCAGCGCTCACCCAGTCCTCACTGTGCAGATGGCTGATGTGAGACCAGAAAGGGGACATAATTTCCTCCCAGGTCCCATGGTCACTATGGCAGGGCCCATCTGAGATTCCTGACCGATGCGCAGCCAGCCCCACACCACGTGGCCCTGCTCCTATGGCCTTTTCAGAACCCTTCTCCCCTCATTCCCCCCCGTCCCCCCCCTCCCCCCCGCCTCCTAAAAGGTCCGAGTCCTTCCACGGCCAGACCAGGCTTGTGGGACCTTCTTCCCTGTCTCTCTCACTCCGCCCTCTGCTCCTGGCGCTGACACTGCTGTCTTCCCCTTGCACTCGCTGTCCCCCGCCTGGTGCACCTGTCCTGCGGGAGCCCTTACTCCCACCCCACGCCCATCCCCTCTGCCCCGTGCCCAGCCCGTTTCCGCTGAGCTTCGCCATCCTCTGACAGGATGGGGTAAATGGGTTTGCTAGCTTGTTCGTGGCTGTGTCCTCGGGAAAGCTGTCCTCTCTGAGAAGTGGCACCGCAGGCTGCTGTCTCCGCACTGCTCCAGCTCTAGAGCATTGTCTGCTAAGAGCACGCCCAGATACCCGGCAGGGGACTGAATGGATAAAGGAATGGACTAAGGAAGGAGGGGTGCAGGATGAGTGATGACTGCTGCATGACTGCCGCCAGGCTGAGCCCCAGGCTGGGAGTGGACTGGTCCTCTCTGAAGGTGGGCAGGCACACGTCCATCTGCCCTGGGGCCACCCGGGGCTGCGGTGTGGATGTGGGTCCTCGGAGACCCTGCTGCTGAGGGCCCCTGGGTGCTAGGTGCTGGCTGCTGGCACCCAGGGCTTCATGGGGGGAGGAGAGGCAGTGGAGCCACAAGCTGCCTGGCCGATGCTCTCCTACGGCACACTGGCCACCCAGAGCCTCCGTGTGCTTCCTGGAGAGGAAAGGACCCGTGGTGCCATGGCAAAGGCCCAGGAGGCTGCAGGCTTCGCTGAGGATGAGCACCCGTGGCACTTCCCCTGCCCAACCCGGTAGGCGCTGGCCACAAGCTGCTGACTGACCTAGCACACCAGTGCCTGGATGGGTGAACCGCTAACACAGGTTCCCGGGCTCCTTCTGAGGACCCCAAGTGGTAACAAGAGGGGCGCAGGCTGTGGCCACAGCCCTGCTGCCTGTCATCCCTGGGCGTCGCTGCTTGGAGGGCAGCAGGGTGCCGAGGCCCTGCCCTGCCCCTCTGACTGGAGAAAGGGAGAGCCGCTTCCCATGTCAGCTCCACAGCCATCACCAGGGACCCGTCAAAGGGAGGGAGCAGCCCCGGCTGGGGCGTGCTCTGTGGATGGCTGTCCTTCATGCCTTTTCCCAGAAGCCCAGACTTCTCCCCCGCCCCACCCCCAACACACACAGGCATACACACATATATACACAGGCACACAGGCACATACACACAGGCATATACACAGGCATAGACAGGCACAGGCACACACAGGCACATATGCACAGGCGCACATACACACAGACATGCACAGGTACACATAGGCACACACAGGCGTGCACACACACAGGCACACACATTCGCACATAGGCACACAGGCACATACACACAGGCACACATGCACGGGCATACACATGTACACAGGCACATACCCGAGGGCACACACATGTACACACAGGCATGCAGGCACAGGCACACAGGCACGGGCACACACATGTACATACAGGCACGCAGGCACATACCCGCAGGCACACACATGTACACACACAGGTGCACACACACTCACATACAGGCACACGGGCACAGGCACAGGCACACACATGTACACACACACAGGCACACAGGCACAGCCTGGTTTGGTGGAGCTGCAGGTCAGCCTCAGCGCCACTCGAGTTCACATTTGCCTGGTGAACTAGCACGCGAGCGCACTTCATTCCGGTGGAGGCCAGAGCTCCTTAGCCTGAAGCGGCGGCTTTGACCCTGCACAGGCACACCGCTCAGCTGCTTAGGCGGGCCCCTGGGCGGGGTGGGCGGGGTTGCTGATATCGCATTAAGGGCCCCCCTTCAGCCCTGTCGGTGAAACCCTGGGGAGAAAAGGGGCACACGGCTGCGGGGGGTGGAGAGCGGGAACACCAGGATTTCTGGGGTGAGTGCAGCTTGGGGTTGCTGTGAAGACCTAGGAGTTGGTATTTGCATAATACTTAGAACAGGCCCCATACTGTGTGCATTTGCTAAATATGGTGGGTGAGCTGGGCGGGGACAGAGGCCTAGGCATTCCCCCTGCACAGGGCTGCCTCTGAGTACTCCTACATGCTGGGCAGAGGGAAATGCTATGACCAGCTGTCCAGGGCCGTGGACTCTCCTCCTGACTCTGCCATTTTTCAGCCCCGTGACTGAGCTGAAATCGCCTTTGGCCTCCATTTTCCCCACTGTGAAATGGGTGTAATAACGCCCACCCTGGCTGCCCCAGGGGCTTTTGGAAATGCAGGGAAACGGTTGTTAACAGTGCTGGGGTTCGGTCTGCCTGGCCGCGTCGAGGAAAACATGTAGCCCTTTCCCGCGCCTCTGGAGAGGGGGCGCTGCTTCCCTGCTGGACGCCCCGGGGTTCCCGCAGCCCAGGGTGTCCCCGCGAGGAAGCAGGCGGCTGTGGCCTCCGCTTTAGAGGCCAACTCCCCTGTGAGTCTGGGTTTGGCAGATGGATTTAATCAGGGTAAGAAATTGGTTTTCTTTGTTCCAAGTCCCCATGGAAGATGCCAGGATTGTGGAATTATGAAGGTAAAATTGAGTATGTAAAAACGAAGTTTAGAATGTCAAGAGAAAAGTTTCCTCTTGTTAGGAGTTCAGAGCATTCAAACCAAGTGTCCATCATGGGATGAATGGATGGCCAAAACGGGGTCTGCCCATCGGGCACGTGGGATCACGATGAGCACCGAGGACATGATGCTTCGTGAAGACCGGTCACGGGAGGACCGGTGCTGTCTGATTCTACTCCGATGAGGGACCTGGAGAGTCACGTCCATAGAGACAGGGAAAAGGGTGGCGGTCGCCTGGGCCAGGGTGGGGAGGTGGGGGTGTGTGAGGGGCCCAGGGTTTCAGCTTGGGACGATGGAAAGGTCCCATGATGGACGGAGTGATGGTTGCACAGTGATGTGAATGTGCTTCCCTGTGCTGTACACTTAGGCATGATTAACACGGGACACTTCCTGTTGTGTGGATTGGCCACAGTAAAGTCAGTGAGTAAGTACTGTTTATAGAACAGCACCAGGGTCTGCACATGAGCAGCAGGGTTGGTGCCTTCATTCGGGCAGGCCTGGCGGGCTGCCGCCCCACATGCATGGACCGAAAACAGCCTCGGCTCAAAGGCAGCCGGCAGGTCCGCCTCACCGCTGGCCCCCCTGCCGGCCTCTGGCGTGAGCGAGTCCCCGGAGAAACCTCCATGTCTTAGCCCTTTCTCCAGTCTAACTGCTTTTTAAAGAGGTTGTTTTCCTAGCACCTGTAATTACGTTTGCCTCCAGGGCACCCAGGAATTTTTTCTTAATAAGCAAAGAGCATCCTGCAATTACCATGATGATTTGTGGAGGGCAGGCCAAGTGCAGACAGGGCTGACTCACCTCTGGAAACCGATGCTCACGCGCTGGCATTTACCGCTCTGAGCCGCGCCAGCGCGGAGGGTCCGTAATTAATGGAGAGCGCTGGGGAATTCACGTTCCCACACGGTGTCTGCCGGCGCGGAGCGGCCCGGCGCACAGAGCTCTGGGCACATGCTGCCGGCGTGGATGCGTCACCCACACAGCGGGGCCGCGCGGCCAAGGCCGGGATGGGCAGCAGCCTGTCGGCTCTGTCAGCCCTGATTTGCGGCCCGGCCTGTAATCTCCCCGAGTTCAAAGAGCGCTCAGCTGCTTGTCTTTGTCAAGAGCGCGGTCGGGGATCTTTTATGTGAGTGATGTCGGTTCTCCGGCTGGCTTTGATTACTTATTCATCCCCTCCGTGGGTGTGTGATCGCCGGGCACCTCGGAGCCCCCTGTCCTGACTGCTTTTCCTCTGAAATTCATTGAACGTTAAAGCCCTTTGAAAATTGCTTTCCGAGGGAGGGGAAAGGTTTTGAAGTCCTGTCTCTCTCCCCCGTACAGTGCCGCAGCAACTCTTGCCGCCGTTCCATGCTCCCTTACCGATTGACATGAGACACCAGGAGGGAAGGTACCATTACGAGCCTCACTCTGCCCACAGCGTGCACGGGTAAGTCCGGCCCCCGGCCACCGCCTCGGCATGCGGTCCCCCCCACACCGGGGAAGCCCCGGCCACCTCTCCAGCCTCCGTCTTGCTTCTTGGAGTCCCTGATCTGCATCGTCACCTTCGCCACCCACGGGGGCACTGGCCGGGACCTGAGCGGCTGTGTGGGTGGGAATGGACACCCAGCTCCCTCTGGTTACCTGAGAAGGGAAGCACAGCCCTCGCGCCCCTCACCACTTCCAAGTCTGCCGACTGTCCTGGAGGGTCCATAAGCAGCACCTGGGCTCTGTGCCCCGCCCTCCCCCGGGGGGCAGTGGGAGCCCCTTCAGGCCAGAGGTCCCATCTCAGTATACTGACCTTCCTCATGTGCTGCCCAAGCATAATCATTCATCGCACGCCCTTCCCTCTCTGAAGTGTCCCGACTTGGACACCGAGTTACAGGGTCACCTCACTTATAAGGACAAGCTCCAAGTTATACTTTGGGGCCTCATCCTGCTCCTGCTGTGAGACCGCGGGGAGTGAGACGCCTGTGCAGTCCCACTGCACCTCTTGAGGCCTGTAGCTGATGTCGCTTTTCTTGGTCTTTATGACCTGATGAACCATGCCCCATGTCTGCTTTTAGAAGAGAGACCATGCTGCCCCACACACACACCTAACATATCTGCTGCTCCCACACCTGCCCAGGAGGGACCTCCTGCACAGACCAGCTGCCCTGTGGCCCCTCTGGGCCCAGCCACCTCACCTGTCCAGGTGCTGTTTGTATTCCCAGCACTCACAACCCTGCCACATGTTCCTGTGTCTCGGCTCCAGCTGCCCAGCCTGCCTAGACTGGGGCACCGATTCCCACTGGCCCCGGCCCCCTGCTGGCATCTCCTTCAGATCCTCTAAGCCTCAGCGAGGAGCACCTCCTCCGGGGGCACCGGGAACAGCGCACCCAGTGGGACCTTCCCTGATCCCACCGCACTGCCAGGCCAGAATGGGTTCACGCCTGCCGCCCAGAGGCTCTGCCGGGGCTGGTGCACACAGGTGCACACTCCCTGTTTGCTGGGCGCACAGCTCTCCCTGCGTCCCCTCGCTGCCCTCCCGGCTCCCGGCCTAGTGGAGGCAGCAAGTACTTGCTGAGCACTCACTGCGTTCAAAGCACGCCCTCTGCCTGGTCGGGCAGGTGACTGAGAAGGGCCCAGTCCTCAGGTGACTCCTGTTTCTGGGCACGCATTGCCTCCCCACGACAGATCGAACCTGGGTTTTTTTTTTTTCTTTTTAAAAATACCTTTTGCTTTGGAATCATTTCAAACACATAAAAACAGTTGCAAAAATAGTACCACGATTTCTATTGTATTATACCCTTCACCACTTCCTCAAGCGTGCTATTAGCTAAAGCCGGGTCTCACCCAGATTTGGCCAGGTGCCTGCTCGTGTCTTTTCTCTCTGGCTCAGGACCCAGCGTTTGCACTTAGTTGTCTTATCTCTGTCGTCCCCTTTAATCTGGGACCATTGCTCAGTCTCTCCTCATGACCTTGGCATTTTGAAGGAGAAAGCCCAGGTTCCGTACAAAACGCCCTCCTGGGTGTGTCTGATGTGGCCTCAGATTATGCGTTTTGGGGAATAATGAGAAAAGGGATGCTGGGGGCACGTCAGGTGACACTTCTCATGCCTGGGATTAGCTGTGACCGCTTGGTTCCGGTGAGTTTCTCCAGTTTGAAGCCAGTCGCTTGGTAATGACCAGGAGTCGCTTTGGTAACATGTGCAAATCCTCCTCCTCATCACATTGGCACCACAGACTCTAACCTCCACGACGGCTCCCGTCAGAAACAGGAGGCACTGCCTTTGCCAAGTGCTGCTTCTCCATCCCCGTCGCCCCTCCCACATTGATCTGCTAGGAAGCTACTGTGAGCACAGCCGTGCCTTCTCCCCCATTTCTCTTTTCCAAATAAATGCGTTGATGTTTGTGGTAGTCGATGAGCTATAGCCTCTGGTGATCACTGTTGAGTGTGCTGTTCACGTGGTCCCAGATTTGGTTGTCTCCCTGTCTTCCCACACGTTCAGCGCGTGCTCTGGTTCTGATGGACCAGGTAGGACCTGCTGTGCAACGTGTGCCAGCCGCAGCCCCCCACCTGGATGGAGGCCGTCCCAGCAGTTTCGGGGAGATGCGTATGTTTGGAGCAAGGTCTCAGTTGCAGGCATCTGAGAACCTGTGTGTTAAGGGGGCTGAGCCCCTCCTCGGAGGGGCTGGAGTTGCTGATTTTCTGCTCCTGAGACGTTCGGCTGCTCGGGACCCGGATCCTGGGCACAGCTGGCCTTCGGGAAGTGCTCCCCTGCCGGTCCCAGGGCCGGTCGTGGGCGCGCCCAGTGCTGAGGCTCCCGGAGGGGCGCAGGGGAGCATCAGGCTCTCGTCTCCCCCAGCTGATAGGAGAAGACCCCTCACTGGCGAATGCAATTTCTCGTGGTAACTCTGACCTGGCTGTTAAACACTTTCTGTTTTATCTCAGTCCTCTCAACAGCCCTGAGAGTGCATTTCATGTCACCCCACTTTACAGAGGAAGGAACTGAGGCAACACGGAGAGGATAAGCAGCTGGCATGAGGGTCACCCACGTAGGGTTGGGAGTTAGAAATCTCATTCCTGCCCCTGAGCCCAGCCCCTCGATATCACACTGGCCTCTCCCGAGGGCATATGTGTGACTCCAGGCCCCCTGGGCAGGTTCCGCCGAATCCACAGAGACCACCCTTGGCTGGGGCACTGCCCTAGGACTGTGGTGCCCAGCCTCTTAGGAATGCAGGCCCCAGGCCCGGACCCGTGCAGCCTGCTCTGGGGCAAGGCCACGGTCTGCCACGCCTGCTGCGGGCGCAGGCTTGAGACGCTGTGCAGGCAGGGCCTGGCTGCTGAACGGGGGTCCTTAGTGCTGTCCCTCCCTGTGCCAGTGGGAGCTGTGGCAGGAGGTCGCCCTGCGCCTTTTCCAGGCTTCACCGCTCACCAGCTCTGGATTGGACACAGGCCACCCCCCAGCCCCCACCCCGGGCCTGCCTCCTTCCTAGCCAGGGAGGCGCAGTGTGTGGCAGAGCACCTGGAGAAGCAGGTGGCGATGGCAAGTCGCAGGAGAAGTCTGGCCAGGCCAGCAGCCTGCAGAAACCGTCTTGTCACTCGCGGGCTCAGCGGTTCTTTCACTTCCCTGGATAACTGAAGAGCACCTATGAGTCTCATACTGCTGCTGTAACGAATCACCTCAGTTAGTGGGTTAACCAGGACAGGCTTGGTCTCGGAGCTCTGGAGGCCAAAAGACTGACAGGAGTCTTCTAGGACAGTGGTTGGCAAACTGCGGCTCAAGAGCCACATGCAGCTCTTTGGCCCCTTGAGTGTGGCTCTTCCGCAAAATACCATGGCCTGGGCGAGTCTATTTTGAAGAAGTGGCATTAGAAATTTAAGTTTAAAAATTTTGGCTCTCAAAATTTCAATCATTGTACTGTTGATATTTGACTCTGTTGACTAATGCGTTTGCCGACCACTGGGTTAGGAGAACCGTCTCCTCCTGGAGAGAAGAGGTTTCCGTGGCTCCCAGCCCGCCTCCTTTCGCGTTGCCTTTCTCCCCGCTCTGTCCTCAGGTGCCCGTCCTCCTCTGGCTGTTTTCTGCCTCTGCCCCCCTCACAAGGACACCTGGATTACTTGAGGGCCCAGGACAATCCAGAACAGTCCTGAATTCCACGTCTGCAATGGCCTTTCCCACTGAGCCCCGTTCCCAGGGCCCAGGGCCCAGGGCCGAGGACAGGGACTCTCCGAGGGTCGTTCTCCAGCTCATCTGGGATCCCCGGTCCCAGTGGCGAGCCCAGCATCACCACGTACAGAAAAGGGCGAGAAATGTGTTCCCTCCCTTCCCGATGGCCTGGGAGGTGGGTTACATCCGCAGCTCGCAGGTGCAGGCACAGGCTCAGAGGGATGCCCTGCACGGCCGCCAGGCCTGCCTCTGCTCCAGGGTTGAGGAGCCGTTCACACCCGGCCTGGCAGCAGCCCTGTTCGCCGCATCCTGCTGGCCTGGCTGCCAGGGCTCACCGTGTCCTCAGGACAGCGGGTTCCGGCCAGGCCACAGGGGGACAAGGCCCGTGCTGCAGAGCCCGCCCCTGCCCCCTCCCTCAGGCCCAGGTGAGAACGGACAGAGCTGGGGAGGAAAGCAGCCCGGTGGCCCAGGCCCTGCGGTTAGTGTGGGGAGCCCGGGGGAGCCCGATGCAGCCAGCCGCTGCTGTGGCCGCTCCCCCTCCTTGGCAGCAGCAAATGCGCCTAATTACACAAACGCTGCTCAGCAAACGAGGCGGTGTCGTCTCCTGTCAGCCCGCCTCGAGGCTGCTGCCTGCACTCCGTGCTCAGGCCTCTGCGCAGGCACAGGACCCTGGTCCCCTCTGGCTCAAGGGCAAGCCCCCCCTGTCCTTGGGGAACTGCTGTGGGGAGGCTGCGGCACAGGAAGGTGGGAAGCCGGGCGGAGGCAGTAACCACTGGGGGGAAGGGAGGAGGGTCTCCCTACCCCAGGAAGGCCTTTGTCCTTCCAGCGGCAGGAGCCACCTTCCCTTCACTGAGGCACAGGCCCACAGGGCTGCAGCGCTTGGCCATGCTCAGAGCCTCCCAGCAGGGAGCGGCCCTGCCCTGGGTCCCGGGCAGCACCTCTTACCTGTAAACCACCTCTCACCTGATGGGGAGACAGATGGCTGGGGGTCAGGCAGAGTTCTCTTGTGTCCCCACCCCCACCCCCAGGACATGCTCCTGAGGCTCCGAGAGCCCTTTCCGGGGTCAGAAGAAAGCCCGCCAGCTCCCCACTGCCTGGCGGCTGCCAGCAGGAGCGAGGCTTGTGGCCTCCTGGGCCCTGGCCCCTGGGAACTGGCTGGCCCGGTGTCGTGGGGACCCAGGCTGAGACACGGCAGGGCCTCGGCCGGACTGCCCGTGCCTCAGAGTCCTGAGCGGAGTGCAGGCTGCTGGGGCTCGGTTCGCTCGTGCGCTGGCCGGGAAGGTGGACACCCCGTGGTC